GGGAAGCAAAGTTGATTCCTGCAACAATGGTTTCAAAGGTGGTCATCCGAGAAAGGCCTCAGTGCTTTAGTAACGAATAAAACCATGGTATTCTTCTTTTCATATAGGAAGCGCAATTAAACGAAGTATTATCAGCTTCGAATCTTGATCCAACTGCACTGACTGTGGTCACAAGAAAACTAGAGGTAAAACATTTAACTGAAACCCATCTACTATTGGTTGATCGTTTCAATTACAGGATATGTGTTGAACTGTTGTCTTCGTTGTCTTTTCCCAGGACGTGCTTGACTCAAAGAATAGCGCGATTAAAGATCTACAGTACGAACTTGCTCGCGTGTGTAAGGTACGTTTATCTCCAGCTCAGTTATATTTTGTCAACAGGGAAGTCACCCAAAAATTGGTATAGCTAATATACTTAATATGGCTGCATTTTGTATCATAGCGCTCATGTAAGGAAGCAAAAAATCTGATCTTCTGATCTCTTTAAAATGCAATGCTTATATTCTCATTTGATTAATCTGCACTAAAACCTCTATAATTCTTATTACACAGTGCGTGCATGGCTTGGCATGCGCATATCATTGCATCATTATGTATATTATTTCCCTAAGGTTGGCAAGAAAATACCGAAATAACACTGTATACATAAACTAAATGACGAAAAACTCGTACTTAAACATCGAAATTCATTAAAAAACCTAACTCATTATGATCAGACATAACTTTAACACTCCTACATATTATTGTACATAAAACGAGTGAATTTTGCGAAAATTCAAATTTTTTACTCGATGTACGTAAGTCAATTTTTTCAAACTATGCTGGACGACAGCTGCCGTTCCGACGTCATAAAATAAAGCTCGCTGATTGGCTACGATTTCAACCAGCTTAAGCCAGCCAATCAAAGAGCTTCATCTTGTGACGTCGGGACGGCAACCGTCACCCGCATATACTACATGGCTAAAAACGCACAGGTTGTTGCAAGTTGATATCGACAGGCGTGAACAATGTTGTGCGGCCAACTATGAACAAGTTGTCAACCATGTTGTTCCAAGTTGTTACAGTTGAACAATGCTGTAACAACATGTTGACAATACTGTTCATATAATTGTTTTTGTTTGTGGAAACACCACGTAAATTTATTACTGCAAAGCTTATATATTATTAGCATATTATTATTATTATTATTATTATTATATTATTAGCACTGATGAAGATCCGGGCTTACGGATCGAAAGCTTTGCAGTAATAAATTTACGTGGTGTTTCCACAAACAAAAACAATTATATTTTATCGCCATGCAAACATTCAAAGAACTTACTGTTCATATAGTTGGGCCGCACAACCTTGTTCACGCCTGTCGATATCAACTTGCAACAAGTTGTTGATTTTCTCAATTTTTACGCGTGTATACATATTATTGTACATAAAACGAGTGAATTTTGCGAAAATTCAATTTTTTTACTCAATGTACGTAAGTCAATTTTTTGTGTACGTAAGACGACAGCTGCCGTCCCGACGTCACAAAGTAAAGCTCCCTAATTGGCTACGATTTCAACCAGCTTATAAGAGCTTCATTTGGTGACGTCGGGACGGCAACCGTCACCCGCATATTAGACATATTTAGATCGAGGACGCGGACGTCAAAGACGACGTGAAAATGGCGTGTTGTGCCCATGTATGGATATGCCACGCCATTTTCACGTCATTTTCACGTCGTCTTTGACTCTCTCCATTCCATAATGTCTCTGAGTCTGACAGGCTTTCCTTCACCTCTTCTTAATAGCTATACGTATTTGAATTTATTTGCTTCGTCATACCTATAATAAGTACATTTAGACAACATGGATAAAGTGGTAGGGACAGCCCAACAACGGGTTGTCAATAGACCTTTCCCCTTTTAAGTGAAATTTTGATCTAGACAAGTCTGGGCAAAAATGTCATCACAGCTTGAAAGAGCATCACAAAATTAGTAATATTCCGAAGTTTCGTTGCGAAATGTTGTAAAATGCGGATAATATAGCCTTGCGAAGTTTGCCGTTTTTCAGTCATTTGGTATTACAAACGGAAATTGATAATCAGATGATCAAACTGATTATC